TCGACGTGAAAGGGATCTAAGAGTCTTAGTGGACGACAAGTTGAATGTGAGCCAAGAGTGTCCAATTCTGGGCACCACAATTCAAGAGAGATATTGACAAGCTGGAATGAGGAGATGCCATCTGAACACGAGGAAGAACTTCCTGACTGTGAGAGCCATTCAGCAGTGGAACTCTCTGCCCTGGAGTGTGGTGGAGGCTCCTTCTTTGGAAGCTTTTAAGCAGAGGTTGGATGGCCATCTGTCAGGGGTGCTTTGAATGCAATTTTCCTGCTTCTTGACAGAATGGGGTTGGACTGGATGGCCCAGGAGGTCTCTTCCAACTCTTGGATTCTATGAGTGTGATGCAGCAGCTTAAAAGGCCAATGCAATTTTAGTCTGTATCATCTGTATCATGAGTCTAATGTTGTGATCAAGGGTTGTTCCAGTGTGCCTTCCCAGAATAAGGAAAACTCTTAGCAATATGTCCTCAAATGCACTTTAACATTGATTCAGGATTGTCTGCGCACCCTCACTTTTCTTTGAAAACCCTATCCTAGTTGTACCCTACCTTGTTCATGTCCAGCATTATTTTTAAATTTTTAAATTATTACATTTGGCCTGGCCATTGGTTTTTTTTAAATGCTTGTATGTTATTGTCATTATTTATTGTTTATTTTTTGTTTATGAGATTTATTTTAACTGTTTCGTATTGATTATTTTGTTATTGCTTTCGTTTATTGATGTACTGCGGGCTTGGCCTCATGTAAGCCACACCAAGTCCCTTGGAGAGATGGTAGCGGGGTACAAATAAATAATAATAATAATAATAATTATGATTATTATGATTATTATTGTTATTAGGGAAGTCATGGTACCATTCTTTTCTGCTTTGGCCAGACCTCATCTTGAATAATACTGTGTCCACTTCTGGGCAAAGCAATTTAAGATGGAAAGTATCTAGAGAAGGATGGCCAAAATGATCAAAGGTCTGGAAACAACAAATCCCTGTGAAGAATAGCTTAGGGAGTTGGACATGCTCAGCTTCGAGAAAAGAAGACTGAGAGGGGACATGATAGCTATGTTTCAATATACTGAGGGGGAAAACTTGTTTTCTGCTGCTCCAAGGACACCATGCAGCGATGTATTCGAATTGCAAGAGAAGAGATTCCACCTAAACATTAGGAAGAAGTTCCTGGAGGTAAGAAATATTCAACAGCAGAATCTGCTGCTGTTTAGGCATCTGATGGAATCTCCTTCTCTGAGGGTGTTTACACAGAGGCTCGATGGCCGTGGACCAAAACAGCTTGGGATAGCTATTTCTGTTGGTTTGATGAGGGGTTGGACTAAATGGCCTTTGGGGTCTCTTCCAACTCTAGAAGTCTATTATAAAACAAGGGGATAATTCAGAAACACTCTCCCACTCAAGAAATAGGGGTGAAGGAAGTGGGATGTCCACAGCATAGTGTTTGTATCAGTTAGATGACAGAACACAGAAAGGAAGGGAAACCACAGGAAAGTGAGAGAGAAGAGAAAAAAAGAGGGTCAAGGGTCTGGAGAACAAGCCCTATGAAGAGCGGCTTAAAGAGCTAGGCATGTTTAGCCTGAAGAGGAGATATGATAGCCATGTATAAATATGTGAGAGGAAGCCACAGGGAAGAGGGAGCAAGCTTGTTTTCTGCTTCCTTGGAGACTAGGACATGGAACAATGGCTTCAAACTACAAGAGAGGAGATTCCATCTGAACATGAGGAAGAACTTCCTGACTGTGAGAGCCGTTCAGCAGTGGAACTCTCTGCCCCGGAGTGTGGAGGCTCCTTCTTTGGAAGCTTTTAAACAGAGGCTGGATGGCCATCTGTCAGGGGCGATTTGAATGCAATATTCCTGCTTCTTGGCAGGGGGTTGGACTGGATGGCCCATGAGGTCTCTTCCAACTCTAGGATTCTTTGATTCTATGATTCAGGACCAGTTCTATGAAGGAAGGTGCATGAAAAATCCCAATGTTTGAAACATTTAGAACTGGGGGGTGGGGTGGGGGATAATGCCACCTGCTCCTTTTATCTTCCTCCTCTATACTCAATGGTACAACCCCCTTGTTGTACCAGCTCCACTGGCTGCCGATTTGCTACTGGGCTCAATTCAAGGTGCTGGCGTTGGCCTATAAAGCCTTAAACGGTTCCGGCCCAAGATACTTATCCGACCGCATCTCGACCTACGAGCCCACCAGGACTTTGAGATCTTCCGGGGAGGCCCTGCTCTCGATCCCGCCTGCTTCACAAGCACGGCTGGCGGGGACGAGAGATAGGGCCTTCTCGGTGGTGGCTCCTCGGCTGTGGAACACCCTTCCCGTGGACATTAGACTGGCTCCTTCCCTGATGATATTCCGCAGGAAATTAAAGACTTGGTTGTTCAAGAAGGCGTTCGAACAAGAAGTGCAATGATTGGTAATGACATTAGGAATGGAACAACGGAAAATGATACTGGATTGTGGTTTGGACGATGAGACGACGCTGAATGGTTTTCATAGTAATGACGATGTTTTTGTATAATGCTGGATTGTGAATTGTTTTTTATACTGTGTCTTGAATTTTGTTCTTCCTATGTTGTACACCGCTGTGAGTCGCCCCCGGGCTGAGAACAGCGGTATATAAGCAAAGTAAATAAATAAAATAAATAAATAATAAATAAACGGTAGCAAAGAAGAGAAGAACCACAAGGAAACCCCCTTCATCCTGAGGATGAGGAAGCATGCAAATGAAGTGAAAATGGATCTAGCAAGAGTGCTTTATTGGCGCTATTGTGAGATCCCCCCCCCCTTTCAAGACAGTCTTATATTTTGCTCCAGAAACCTTTCTCTCCACTGTAACAACCTGCATATTTTGTTGGGGTTTTTCTGCAAGTGGGAATCCAGATGGCCAATAACCTGAGGGCAAGGGCTGTTTAACTCAGCCTTCAGAAGCGGCGCCTGGAAGGCAAGCAGCATCTGGCAGCTCCAAGAGAGAGAAAAAGAGAGGCACAAGCTGGTCGGGAAGCCTCCTCCCCTGCTACTACTGCCGACAACAGGGTCAGGTGTTCCTGGCTGGCTTTCAGAGAACAAAATGACAAAGCCCCGGAAGCAGGCGGGCTCTTCTTCTGCTCCCCTTCCTCACTGTTTCCAGGGCTTTCAATTAAAGACAGAAGGAGAGCCAGCTTTGCGAAGGGTACCCATTGGCATGCTTTCCCCCTGTGGCATGGGAGAGAGTGTCCACACGCCTTTACAAAACATCATTTGTCCCCAGCAAGCCATTTCAAAAGAGCTTTGTTTACTCTCAGGTGGGTTACCCTTTCACAAGAGTCTCTGGCAAAAGGGTAACTCACCTGAGAGTAAACAAAGCCCTTTTGAATTGGTTCGCTGGGGACAAATGCTGTTTTGTTAAGGCATGTGGACACTCTCCCATGCCACAGGGGGAAAACATGCCAAATTTAGTCTGATAACATCCTGTTTCTCAACCTGGGGGTCGGGACCCCTGTGGGGGTCAAGAGGGGGTGTCAGAGGGGTCGCCAAGGACCATCAGAAAACACAGTATTGTCTGTTGGTCATGGGGGTTCTATGTGGGAAGTTTCAATCATTGATGGGGTTAAGAATGCTCTTTGATTGTAGGTGAACTATAAATCCCAGCTACTACAACTCCCAAATGTCAAGGTCTATTTTTCCCAAACATCACCAGTGTTCACATTTTGGGTATATTGAGTATTCATGCCAAGTTTAGCCCAGATTCATCATTATTTGAGTCCACAGTGCTCTCTGAATGTAGGTGAACTACAACTCCCAAACTCAAGGTCAGTTCCCACCAAACCCTTCCAGTATTTCTGTTGGTCATGGGAATTCTGTGTGACAAGTTTGGTTCAATTCCATCGTTGGTGGGGTTCAGAATGCTTTTTGATTGTAGGCTTACTATAAATCCTAGCAACTACAACTCCCAAATGACAAAATCACCCCACCCTCCCCCCCAATCCCACCAGTATATTGGGTATGTGTGCCAAATTTGGTCCAGTGAATGAAAATCCACCCTGCATATCAGATCTTTACATTACCATTTATAACAATAGCAAAATTACAGCTATAAAGTACCAACAAAAACAATGTTATGGTTGGGGGGTCACCACAACATAAGCAACTGTATCAAGGGGTCGCGGCATTAGGAAGGTTGAGAACCACTGCTTTAGCGGCAGTTTCAGAATAGTTGCTAAATGACAGTGCTCAGCAGTCAAAATAATAATAATAGTAATAATAATAATATATAAATGTTACTGCTTGGCCCAAAAGCTGCTAATGCTTCCATGCACAGCCACAGCTGGAGAAGTCTGAGACATAAAAAAATATAAGCAGGAAGCAGCCAGGCTTTGAAGCTCCAAGGCTATTGAGCGCTAACCAAGGTCGTACATTGCAACATTCACACTTGCCTCAAACAGACAAGAGTTCTTTCTCCCACCCTGGACATTATTCTACAGATATATAAACCCCACTTGCCTAGTTTCCAACAGACTTCACAACCTCTGAGGATGCCTGAATAGATGTGGGTGAAACATCAGGAGAAAATGGCTCTGTAACATGGCCAGACAGCCCGAAAACTCACAGTAACCCAGTGAGTCTAGCCATGAAAGCCTTCAACAACACAATATACATGCTGTTAACCATATGGATTGGGTTTCCCACTTGTAAATAAAAAAACCCTTGACATTTGCGGGTTTGACTTTGGCGGATTTGAAATTACTAGTGGATAGGAGTAAAATGTTCTCTCTAGCAATTTCCAAGTGCTTCAGTCCAACTTCTACCAGAAATCAGCCGTAGGGTCACACCACTAATAAAATATCTCACACAGCACCGAAATAACCAGGATGCAATATAGCAGTGTGTAAACTGTACAGACCATCACCAGGCCAAAACGTGCAAACCAATTCCCATTGTTTTGTTATACAGCATTGGGGAGAGCTCAGTCCCTGAGTCCAAGATGTTTGGAGGAAACAATAGGCACCTTTCTTTACCTTTCGGTTGGGGACTATTGGAGTCCTCCATAGACAGTTTCAGCTGTTGTATGAACTCGCCGCCATACACACTCCTCTCTTGCCAGATGGTCAGCAATCGTTCCAAGGGCTTTTTGCAGCCCTCGTCTGCCTCCCTGGGAAGACAGAACAGAAACGTGTCAGGAGAAACTGGTCAAAAGGGAAGAAATGGCTGGGGAGACAGCGCTAGAAGGCCCCCTTCTCTCCTACCAAAACAAACCCACAAACAACCCCAAAAAGCTTTAGATACAGACACCAAGCAGCTATGGAAAGCCATGAAGAGTCAGCCACATTTTTCAGGACAGTACTTCAGCAGTGGTAACTGATAGGTGCCTCAACTTAAAACATGCAAATTCAGAATAGCAAGAAGTTGTATATACCGTATATACTCAAGTATAAGCCGACCTGAATATAAGCCGAGGCACCTAATTTTACCACAAACGAACTGGGAAAAAGTATTGACTTGAGTATAAGCCGAGGGTGGGCAATGCAGCAGCTACTGGTCAATTTCAAAATGAAAATAGATACTAATACATTTACATAAATTGAGGCATCAGTAGGTCAATTTTTTAAATATTTACATAAAGTTGTAATTTAAAATAAGACTATTTAACTCTGTGGAACACCCTTCCCGTGGACATCAGACTGGCTCCGTCCCTGATGATATTCCGCAGCAAATTAAAGACTTGGCTGTTCAAGAAGGCGTTCGAACAAGAAGTGCAATGATTGGTAATGACGACAGGAATGGAACAACGGAAAATGATACTGGATTGTGGTTTAAACGATGAGACGACGCGAATGGCTTTGTGTATTTTGATATTGTTGATGTTTTTGATGATAATGTTTTTGATTATTGCTAGATTGATATTTTAGATTGTGTTGAATTTTGAACCTTGTGCCTTCTATGTTGTACACCGCTGTGAGTCGCCCCCGGGCTGAGAACAGCGGTCTATAAGCAAAGTAAATAAATTAATTAATTAATTAATTAAATCATTATTCTAGCCTTCTTCAATGTAAATGTGCGTACGTATCCTTCCAATAATAATAAAGAGGGCAAAATAATAAACGTAATAAAAATAGTAAAATAATACATGTAATAATAACAACAATAACAGAGTAAAATAATAAATGTTATAACAATAAAAAGAGTAAAACAATAAATGTAATAATAACAGAGTAAAATAATGTACCAAAGGTAACAATAATAGAGTAAAATAATAAATGTAATAATAATAATAATAATAATAATAATAATAATAGAATCATAGAATCAAAGAGTTGGAAGAGACCTCATGGGCCATCCAGTCCAACCCCATTCTGCCAAGAAGCAGGAATATTGCATTCAAATCACCCCTGACAGATGGCCATCCAGCCTCTGTTTCAAAGCTTCCAAAGAAGGAGCCTCCACCACACTCCGGGGCAGAGAGTTCCACTGCTGAACGGCTCTCACAGTCAGGAAGTTCTTCCTAATGTTCAGATGGAATCTGTAGTTTGAAGCCATTGTTCCATTGCGTCCTAGTCTCCAAGGAAGCAGAAAACAAGCCTGCTCCGTCCTCCCTGTGGCTTCCTCTCACATATTTATACATGGCTATCATATCTCCTCTCAGCCTTCTCTTCTTCAGGCCAAACATGCCCAGCTCCTTAAGCTGCTCCTCATAGGGCTTGTTCTCCAGACCCTTGATCATTTTAGTCGCCCTCCTCTGGACACATTCCAGCTTGTCAATATCTCTCTTGAATTGTGGTGCCCAGAATTGGACACAATATTCCAGATGTCGTCTAACCAAATATAGTAAAATAATAAATAACCTTGACTCAAGTATAAGTCAAGGGGGGGGGGGGGGTTTCAGCCTTAAAAAAAGGGCTGAAAAACTTGGCTTATATATACAGTAAGTACATAATTCCATTTGGAATAATGGGAGAAGATGTGGATTAAGAGTTTGAAGTTTGAAAGTAGCAATTTAAAAGAAATCGTTTACAAAATGATGTACAGATGGGATTTGACACTAGAGAAACTTTCTAACATGTATAAGGCCAGTTCTAACAAATGTTGGGAATGTGAACACAATGTTGGCACATTTTATCATATGCGGATAGGCCCAGAAATATTGGACTGAAATACATTATTATTATTTTATATGCATTTATATCCCATTTCCTCTCTCTCAAGGGAGAATCACAGAGGCCAATACTGAAAATAATACAATATGTAAATTAAAACCCAGAGCATTCTATTATTAAAATAATATTAAACACAGGGGCTTATTAAAAATATATAGTTAAAACCAATAAAACCATTTACATCTGACGCTGGAAATGCTGTTAACGTTAAACTTAAGATGACAATGTTGGGAATGCTGAATAATCTAGAAAGAAAATTTCCATGACAAACTGCCACAGGAACGGTAGATGCTGAGAGGTGGAAGGTAAAGGTAAGTTTCCCCTTGACATGAAGTCTAGCCATGTCCAACTCTGGGACTCTGCTGCCCATCTCCATTTCTAAGCCGAAGAGAAGACATTGTCCACAGATGCCTCCAAGGTCGTGTGGCCGGCATGACTGCATAGAGTGCCATCACCTTCCTGCCGGAGCGGTACCTATTGATTTACTCACATTTCAATGTTTTTGAATTGCTAGGTTGGCAGAAGCTGGGGCTAACAACTTGAGCTCACTCCACTCCCCAGATTTGAACCGCTGACCTTTCGGTCAGCAAGTTCAACAGCTCAGCAGTTTATTTATTTATTTATTTATTTATTTGCTGCATTTGTTGACCGCCGCTCTCAGCCCTAGGGCGACTCGCGGCGGTGTACATATAAAAACAGTTTACAATAAGGCACAACAAGAAATCAACATATCAATAATACACACTAATCTAAATTACACTAGCTAATCCGCATCGTCACAACATAGAATCATAACCAATCTCGTAATCCGTATACCGTTCCAGTTGTCCTTACCAGTCAATGTAGCACTCAGTTAAATGCCTTCTCAAATAGCCAGGTCTTTAGGCTTTTACGGAAAGCCATAAGGGAGGGCGCCTGTCTGATGTCAACAGGGAGGGTGTTCCACAGCCGGGGGGCCACCACCGAGAAGGCCCTCTCTCTCGTCCCCGCCAGACGTGCCTGTGAGGCAGGCGGGATCGAGAGAAGGGCCTCCCCAGACGATCTCAAGGCCCTCGTGGGCTCATAGGCCGAGATGCGGTCCGAAAGGTATTTTGGGCCGGAACCGTTTAGGGCTTTGTAGGATAACACCAGCACCTTAAATTGGGCCCGGTAGCAAATCGGCAGCCAGTGGAGCTGGGCCAACAAGGGCGTTGTATGCTCCCTGCGTCCCGCTCCTTAGTAACATGGCTGCCGCGCGCTGGACTAGCTGAAGCTTCCGGGCCGTCTTCAAGGGCAGCCCCACGTAGAGAGCGTTGCAGTAGTCAAGGCGGGATGTGACCAGAGCGTGTACCACCGTTTAACCCACTGCGCCATGGAGAGGTGGAAGGAACCAATTATTTCAACACAAGAAGAATGGCTGGTGAATATCTCAGAATTAGCTGAGACGCAAAAAAGCATAAAGAAGGAATATTTCACTAAGTTTAAGAAAGACTGGGGCCTGTTCATTAAAACAACAACGAGGGCATTTATCAACTTTAGGATTCATGACTTAGTAAAGCTTGCTAGAAATGGGATTATATTGTTGTTTAAAGAGAGCAGAATAGTGAAGGATAACAGAATTTTGTAGGTTTTTTTATAGTTGTTTATTTGTAGCCTGCAGTTTTTATAGTTGTTTGGTTGTAGTTTAATTATATAGTATACGGCCGTGTAGTCTTGGTATATCTGCAACAGCTCTGTGTTTCAGTTGGTGTCTTTCATAAACAAAAATAATTTTAAATGTGAATAACAAGGCTTTCTAATCACCCGCAGCAGACTCTGGGTGTAGAATTATCCAGAACACATTCGATTATGCCTCCCTCGGTGTTTTCTACATATCATTGTATTTGCAGACTTAGTCGTCCCTAAATAGCGAGGCCGCCTTTAACAAGAAGATAACGTACAGCGCGTCAGGAAATGACACATTGCTGCTCATTTGCTGCCTGCCCCACAGCAAGAGAAGAGTCACCCGGTGACAGATGGAGCGAGCCAAGCAGAAAGACAATCTGAAAGGAAAACCTGATAAATCCATCGCCTTTGAGAAGCAGGCCACACTTCAAATGGCGCTCAGGCAGAGCGGAGGCACGTGGAAGAACTAGCAACTGGCCAGCCGGCCAATTGGGGGTCTGAGCGGTGGAAAAGGCCGAGATTTCTAGAGGGAGTACTGCAATTGATGCCGAGTTCGCCACAGTTATATCTCTCGTAATAATGGATCAAAGGGAGGCTGGATTTGCTGAAGTCTGGGAACATTTATGCTGAGCAGACAGCTTAGATATAGTGCCCGGTTTAATCCCAGAGAGCAAATGCATTAAGCAAGCAATTGCACGGGGACTGGAGGCCTGGAGGCTGCATTTTGGTCTGTGAATTTCAATCTTCCCTAGCCCTAATACACCCCACCCCATGCCAAATACAAATATTTTCCATGTATTGTCGAAGGCTTTCATGGCCAGAATCACTGGGTTGTTGTAGGTTTTTTCAGGCTATATAACCATGGTCTAGAGGCATTCTCTCCTGACATTTTGCCTCTACATTGGCCTTCCTCTGTCGGTGATCCAGAAGCTCAAGTTGGTACAAAATGCAGCTGCTCGGCTTCTTGCGGGAATTCCGATAAGATGCCACATAACACCAATCTTATTACAGCTGCATTGGTTACCAATTGAGCCCCGGATCACTTTCAAAGGGATGGTACTCACCTTTAAGGCCTTGCATGGTCTGGGGCCGATTTACCTGAGGAACCGCCTCACCCCCTACCAACCCCAGAGATCCCTCCGTTCTGAGGACCAAGATTTGTTGGAAATTCCCAGTGTCAAGACCTTGCGTCTAACAGCAACCAGACGCAGAGCCTTGACAGCAGTGGCACCATCACTCTGGAATTCTCTGCCACCTGAAGTCCAAGCCTTGCACGACTTATCAGCTTTCCGCAGGGCATGTAAGACATATCTGTTTCAACAGGCTTTTGATCTCTGATATTGCTGTTTTTAAATTGTTTCAAATTGTTTTTAAATTGTGTTAGATTTTAGTCTGTTCTTGTAAGCCGCTCCGAGCCCCAGGGGAGTGGCGGCATATAAGTTCGAACAATAAATAAATAAATACAAGCTTATATTTATACCTGCTTATCGATTATTGATTCATGCATACTGTTGTATTTGTGGGTATAGATTACTTTGGTATATAATCAGGAACCCATTTAATTTAGATGGTATGAATCTTGGCAGGAGAACTCTGGTTTTAAGCTGTGCAAGCCTAGTCCCCATTTCCCAAAGAAACAAGTCTACCAAATGAATTCCTAGGAGGGCATTTAAGAACAGGAAACAACCAGGAGAACAGCCCAGCTCTGGAAGTTTGTGAGTTGGGACACTTTCAAGGTTTCCTTTGAGCACACGCTGAGGGCAAGACATGGAAGGGCATCATCTTCAATCCTGCAGACACCTCAGGGCCAGGTGACTAACTGCTCCTGGAAACAAGAGCAGGGGACACTTCTGGTCTGCATCAGGGGAGGCTGTTCAGGCAGCTCCATCCTTCTCCTGCAAGGTCCACAAAGTTCCCCCTCAATCTATCAGCTGCAATTACGTCTATGAGAAATGCACTGGCATAGAACACCTGACTAGAAAACTTTCAGAATTAAGCAAAAGTTTAAAAAACCCCTCTGATCTGGGGAGAGAGGGCCCTTCCACACAGCCCTATATCCCAGAACGTCAAGGTGCAAAATACACCAGATACAGTGAAGACATCTGCCCTTGTGCTATGCTACTCTGCTGCTGAGTATGCATGCCCAGTGTGGAACACATCTCACCACACTAAAACAGTGGATGTGGCTCTTAATGAGACATGCTGCATTATCATGGGGTGTCTACGCCCTACACCACTGGAGAAATTACACTGCTTAGCCGGTATTGCACCACCTGATATCCACCGGGAAGTAGCAGCCAATAGTGAAAGGACCAAGGCAGAGACATCTCCAGCTCATCCCTTGTTTGGGTATCAGCCAGCACGTAAAAGACTTAAATCCAGAAATAGTTTTCTAAGATCTACAGAGACACTAGCTGGAACACCTCAGCAAGCGAGAGCCCAAAAGTGGCAGGCTCAAACCCAGAGCCTCAATCAATGGCTGATACCCAATGAGAGACTCCCCCCGGGCACACAGAAGACGGGGTGACTTGGAAGGCGCTGAACAGACTGCGCTCTGGCACTACGAGATGCAGAGCCAACCTCAAGAAATGGGGCCACAAAGTGGAATCCACAACATGCAAGTGCGGAGAAGAGCAAACTACAGACCACCTGCTGCAATGCAACCTGAGCCCTGCTACATGCACAAGGGAGGACAACACCAGAGGCACTCCAAGTGGCCAGATACTGGTCAAAGGACATTTAATCAACTACCAAGCTTGCAAACTCTGTGTCTTTTGTATGTTTGTTTGTTTGTTTGTTCTGTCATAAATGTAATACAACTGTTCGGTTGCCTGACACGATAAATAAATAAATAAAGGTGCAAAATCCCACAATATCTGCTTTGAACTAGGTTATCTGAGTCCACACTCATATAATGTGGGATTTTCTGCCTTGTTATTCTGGAATATAAGGTTGTGTGGAAAGGCCCAGAGAAGAACTGAAGAACAACCTCATTAGACAGCTTTGCAGTGCTTCCAGTCTTGGCTGAATATTCCTAGTGGTGGTTGGATTGGATGCAGGTGAACAGACTGAGGTCTTAATCCAGGCAAGATGAATGTGCTCCTTGTCATCTGGAAAGCCAACCTGGGATTGGGATCACAGCATGTTCGAAATAGATTTGCCCCCCCTCTGAAAGATCAGGTTCATAGCTTGACCATGCTTTTAGACCCAGCACTGCACATGGAAAGCATCTTTGTCTAGCTTCGGCTTGACTTTAATGCTGACTCTCTGAATTTAAGGCATCTTGCGGCAGAGGTAATAAAGCACTAAAGACTTTGGGGAAAAAGGGGAGTGACCTCTGCATGCAGGCAAAAAGCTAAACACCTGGAGTTTCACAGATCTAGGAAACAGAGCTGAAAAGTAAAATGGTAGGAATGCATTGCAGGGTTCCTAAGTCCCTAAGGGTCCTATAGACAAAATGTTGGTGCTTCTTCACTTCCAATCCTGCAGGAATTGCATTGTCTTCCAATTTGCCTTCTCTGTAGCAATGCCTCGACTATGTGGATCTCTACCAAAGGAAGCTAGGCTGGCCCCATGTTTTTGAAGTTTCTGGCAGGCAACTGAAGCAATGCTGTTCCACATGGCATTCAGCATTTGAAACTAGTGTTTTAACTATTGCAAAACTGGATTCTACCATTATTTTTAGACAATATTTAGATTTTACAGAGTATTTTAATGTGTTTTAAACATGTTTTCAAAGGAATGAATACTCCTGAAAAATAAAAGACTCTTAGAAGATAATGGCCTAAGATATGGATATCTTTGATAAAATTAAAGTAAACACAGATGTTAATAATCATGATGAAAGATGAGCTTTATTGAGACTATCAGCAAGATTCAAGGCCAGGTCGTACCAGAATTGTGGGTCTTGGCACAAGAAGATTTTAGACAAAAAGCAACAACTGACCAAAAAAGTGGATAGGAAATGTTAAGAAATTGTGTTTCATAGCATATAAAAAGAAGGCACAAATATTTGGGGAAGGATATGATTTTCAATGTGTTTCTTATTTACAGTTGTTTGAAAGATTCAGATTAGATTTTACAATCTATGGTTAGGAATTGTCAAAAGTCTGAATTTGAAACTCAGGTAGGTACAAATGATGGACAGCTGATAGGTAATTTATTCTGCTGTGGAAGATGAACACATGAAAGATTATATGATAAAAGGGGCCCAGAGATTTGGGACACATTATACAAACAGAACAGTGGGAAAGTATTGAAAAGCTTTGAAATCGACTTTGAGCTATGATCTTAAGGGGAATGTTTATGTAATAATCCAGAAATAGATAAACATACCTGGCAACATGTGAAAAAGCATCCACGAGAACAGTTTCAAATTCCCTTGTAAATTCGGGTCCCTTCCGTTTACTGTTCTGGATGACATCATTGGCTAAATATAGGAAAGTGAGCTTCCTACTTGATTTCGCTAGAAAGAAAAGAGGGAAAGTATTATTTACTTGAGATATTTAGCACTCAATATGTTTGGTTCAGTTTCACATCTTCCCAGTGATTTCCATAAGAATTTCAACCAAGGAATGAATGCTAAATTCTAATGTGGTGCATCCTTATTATGATATGAGTTGTGCTACCTTCTTACTTGCCCATTCCCTATGTACTGCATAGGCACCGTCATAGTACATTGCTGTACTATGTCATAGTACATTGCTGTAACATTAAAAATGGACTACATCTACACAGTAGAATGCCATTTGACGCCACTTTAATTGGTACAGTTCAATGCTGTGGATTTTTCTTTTTTAAAAAATAATCTCAGTAAAGAAGACAACCAGCTACTCAATAGACAGGCCCACTGTTATTTTGGCATGGTCCACATTTAAGCAAACTAGCCCTTCATCAAAGCCCACCGGCTGCAGGATCCTTTTAAAAGTCTAAGCTGTAATGTCTGCCCTGATGATCCTTGGGTTGGCTCCCTGAAACTCATGCCCTGAACACAGCAGGATCTGCTCCATAGCAACCGACACAGAACTTACCAGATGTTACCAAAAATATAAGCTGTGCAACGACCGAACAGTGGTGCAAGCTTTGTTGAAATTTCCCTACTCCCCACAGTCCATTGAGAACTACCTAAGATCCATCAGTACATCTTAAGCTGTGAAACTGAGCGTTTCTCCTGATCCCCATTAGCCTTGTCACACAGGTCCCTCCTTATAAGAGAGTTAGAACTTTAATAGCAGCAACCATTTGTTTATTTATTTACAGCTTTTATATTCCGCCCTTCTCACCCCGCAGAGGACTCAGGACGGATTAGAGTGTACACATATATGGCAAACATTCAATGCCAATTTTTGACATACAAACTGTTGGGTTTCATCCCTGACTGCACAAGTCTCCAGCTCTCAATGAGTAGATAGCCTAGATAGACTTAGGGATTCCTCCCCAATTTCCTGTAGTTAAGTTGGTTAAGAAGGGGTTAAAAGAGGGAATTGTCTCACTTATCTTTGCATGGTAGTATCTCCTCCCCATTTGAATACCTAGGAATGTAATCCTATAGGGAAATGTAACTTCCTCTTTTAAAGGTATTTTCAGGTCTTCTTCCCTTTTGTCTTCTCTAGAGTGAGGAAGCATCTTGCCATTGTCAAAGCAAAGGTGTAGTAGATGTAGTTACTTTTATTATTTTTCCTTTTTCTTTTATCTTAGATGATAGCTCAGTGAAGCTAGTTAGCTCCAAGAACCTTTCCTATCTAGAGTGGATTTCTTTTATCTTTAATAAACATATTATTTTTGATCCTATGAGTTGTGGATCTGCAATCCTGTTCCATCCTGCTGAATGGAAGTCAATTCTTGCTCGCTACATGTAAGTTTCTGCTGCTTATTTAACTGTGCACCCTGCACTCTGCTATATTTTTGGTGGAATCACCCCCAGAGAGGGTTATTTTTGAGCCTAACAGCTCTTGATTCCCAACACAAACATATACAGACATACACAGAGGCTATTTAACTTTTTCTGGCCGCCAGGGGAGCTGTTGCTTTCATCGTCCATCTGCGATGCTGACGAAGCACTTCCGCATTCCCCGCATGCTTCTCCGCTGGAATGCTTTGCTGGAGTCTTCTTTATGGCCTCATAAATCAGTTAATTTAGCCTCCCCACACTTTAAGGTAGTACCTAATTTTCCTACTTGACAGATGCAACTGTCTTTCAGGTTGCAAAGGTCGACAACAGGCTACACACAATTGGTTGGAAACACACTCCAACCCGGGCTGGCTTCGAACTCATGAACTTTTGGTCAAAGTGATCTTAATGCAGCTGACACTCAGCCAGCTGCTTACAATCCCAGTGCATATCATACAAAAGTGATACATGCCACCATGTACGGCTTAAGTCTTTAAACCAGGGGTCCTCAAACTTTTTAAACAGAGGGCCAAGTCACAGTCCCTCAAACTGTTGGAGGGCCGGATTATAATTTGAAGAAAAAAAAAGAATGAATTCCTATGCACACTGCACATATCTTATTTGTGCAATAACACTTAACAACAATACAATAATTAAAATGAAGAACAATTTTAACAAATATAAACGTATGAGTATTTCAATGGGAAGTATGGGCCTGCTTTTGGCTGATGAGATAGGATTGTTGTTGTTGTTGTTGCTTTCAAGTTGTTTCAGGTTTAGGCTGACCCTGAGTGAGGGCCGGGTAAATGACCTTGGAGGGCCGTATCTGGCCCTTGGGCCTTAGTTTGAGGACCCCTGCTTTAAACCATTCTCTAAAGGACTGTAATACAAAGGATAAAGCTTTTACCTCTTCAAGGACTCTCTACAATCCCTTCTACACTGCCATATAATCAAGATTATAAATGCATTTTCTACTTTGAACCGGATTATATGTGTCTACACTGCTATAAAATCCAACTGAAAACAGATAATCTGTATTTTATATGGCAGTGTAAAAAAGACCTACAAAATTACATCATACATTTCCACCAATTATAACCCATTTTCTTAATTGTGCATTACAGTAGATAATCGTTGGAGATACTTTCCAATAATGAGATTCCCATGCATGTTGGACTGCCTTCTCTATTGTGGGTTAAGAAATATAACTTTCAGGGAAGGTTAAGTTCATTAGAAACCTGGTCACAATCTTTGCCTTCAACTCTTGCATGTATCCAATGCACTACTTTGAAAATCCAGCTCCCGGAAGACACAAGTACCTGACTAATCCATAGAAAGGTGATAAACTTGCAAACACAGCTTCAGAATTAAATCTTGAGAATGTAAGTGCTGTTTTGTACGTATGTATATTTTGTGTAGGCATTGAACTGTGCCTTTTTGTAAGCCGCCCTGAGTCCCCCCCCCGGGGGGGTTGAGAAGGGCGGGGTAGAAGCACTCGAAATAAATAAATAAATAAGTCTGAACTTTCCCTTTTAAAAATTGTGAAAAAATGTAGATATCATCAGGTCTGCAATGATTTTATTTGAACTGAAATGTCACTTCAAGTAATCTAGGAATTCTCAGAGGTTACTGTCAGCACTTTTGCCAGGTATCTCAGAATTACTGGCAATAATCTTTGTTGACAAACTTTGAGAATTTCTGGAAAACAGGAGATATGCCTGCAGACTTTAGGAAGACGAGCATTTCCTGATGAACTCAAAAGCAGATGGTTGACTCTCTTTCTTTGGAAGTCCTCTAATAAAGGTCAGATGATGTTCTGCAATGTGTGCATTATGCAAGACAGGAGGCCATTGAGGCCTTCTCAAATTTTAAGATTCTACTATTCTATCTTCTCTTACCCCAATTAAAACATTTTTAATATGAAACGCTACATTTTAGAGTGATGAACAAAACATTTAAGATAAAGCATTCACAGGTTGCTAACAGTTCTGTTTCACCGCAAAAATGGATTGAAAGGACATTTCAGACATGATGTTGCAAAGGCACTTGATGTTGGAAAGGAATGTGTTGCAGAAAATACAACACCTGCACATATTTCTTAGAGGAATGCAGTCAGGGGTTCTGCTGAACACAACACAATCTATTAGTAAGGCCGCCTTTAAATAGCAAGGCAGGCAAGTACAGCTCAGAATTAACTGGCGCACCTGCCCCATGAGACTTTTGAGGTGTATAGGAGGTACCTGAGAGGCACCTTCCAGTCCAACCAGCTTTTACCTGCAATGCAGGTTTGGCAATTCAGGGTACAACTTCTATATCAGGCATGGGCAAACTCTAGCTCTCCAGGTGTTTTGGACTTCTACAATTCCTAACAACGCAGAGTTTCTGGGTTGTTGTAGGTTTTTCCGGGCTATATGGCCATGTTCTAGAGGCATTTTCTCCTGGCATTTCGCCTGCATCTATGGCAAGCATCCTCAGAGGTAGTGAGGTCCATTGGAACTAGGGAAAAAAGGGTTTATATACCTGTGGGAATGACCAGGGTGGGACAAAGGACTCTTGCCTGCTGGAGCTAGGTGTGAATGTTTCAACTGACCACCTTAATTAGCATTTGATGGCTTAGCAGTGCCACAGAGTTTGCCCATGCCTGTTCTATATCCCCCACTTGTACCATCTAACATCTGCTTAAATAACTCCAGTAAAAAGAAAGGATCTGCTCTGTAGCTCCAGCTTTTAGAAGTCTGTGCTACTATTTAACTGGGAGGTTCTGAGAGAAGTCTACTTCTCTAGAGACTTTTAAACTGAGGTTGGATGACCATCTCTACCTGCGAGACCGCATCACAGTCTACGAACCCACACGCTCACTCCGGTCATCAGGAGAGGCCCTGCTCGTGATCCCGCCCGCGTCGCAGGCGCGTTTGGTGGGGACGCGGGACAGGGCCTTCTCTGTGGTGGCTCCCCGCCTCTGGAATGCCCTCCCGAAAGATCTCAGACAGGCCCCTACCTTGGCGGTTTTCAGAAAGAACCTGAAAACCTGGCTGTTCCAACGTGCCTTCTCAGATTAGGAACCCCACTACCAAAGCCCAGAAGCACTTTAGTAGAGTCAAGATAACCCTCACCGAACACTGCACTTATTTTAATCCCATATCCCTTCGACACTTCAGCACTTTTACTCCTGTACCCTACTCCTGGCCGGCTCAGTTTTTAATAATGTCCTGTTGTACTGCTACTGTTATTGTTTTCTGCTTTAACTGTTTTATTTGCTATGTATTGTATTGTTGTATTGTGTTGGGCTCCGGCCTGTTGTAAGCCGCATCGAATCCCTTGGGAGATGCTAGCGGGGTACAAATAAAGTTATAATAATAATAATAATAATAATAATAATAATAATAATAATTAGGAGGGCTTTGATTGTGCTTCTGCTTTGCAGAATGGGGTTGGACTGGATGGCCCTTGGATTCCTCACACCGATTCTATTTTCCTCTTTCTGTGGAGCTAGAGAACAATTCTGCTCCATTTTCTCAAGACAGCTTTTCAAATATCTCATGATCACTTCGCATGTGGATTACTTCCATTCTGCT